ATAAAACTTTATGGGCAAACCTCTTTATTTTGGGGGGGGGGGGGGGAAGATGGGAGGCATCCCTGGTGAATGAAATAATGAATCTGTAAATAACCTTGTTATAATAAAGAAGAAACATATCAACTGAAACAGAGTATATCACGATGACAGTGATGCTACAGTGAAGGCTGAAGGTAGTGGTGCCTCTTTCTAAAAGGCCTCTGGTATTCTGACTTCAGAAAGCTTTTCAGCACACACATTATGTCATGGCTTTTAATGTTATTTAAGCATATGCCCTCAGCTGTACACGTATTATACACACTTAATAGTCTTTCCCTGCAATCACACAATACAGTAATCATGCTTGCTCTTACATATCAGAATGTTTTAGGAAAAGTGTTCCTGACATTTTTCTAGGCATTATTTGAATACAGTTAGCAACCATGGGACAAAATGCAAAAGACGGAAAATCTGTGACTGTCAGGAAAGATCAACTTTTGATATGCTGGTTCTAAATGTCAAACATAGAATAGACAAAGAATTCTGTACACAAAATCTTTCCAGTTTTGAATAAGCTTGATTTTAAAAAGATACTTGTAATCAGTGATCAGTGATAAGCAAATGCAGTTCATTATTTTCTTTTTTGGGATCAGAGTAGGCACCTAAGTAGGATAATACAGAGAAAAGTTAGATAATGGTTTTCATACTAGTGAGCACTATTGACTGATTTTAGAAACAGGTGGAATGCCTGATTATTTTAAAATTAGCAGCTTTTCACACTCAGAAGCCTACTTTTTATGCTATAGATTATATAGAGTAAAATACTAAGGCTACATTGCAAAGCTGAAAGGAGTGTATTTCTGATGCTTTGGGCTTCAAGACAGCCTTCTGAGTGTGCTCATTACACTGAGTGATTGCGTACTTTTTGGGGCAGGACATTTGTCTCCACAGAAAGGCACAATACCTGGCATAACCATAGCTTTTGTCCTCTTTGGACCTCTTGTTTTGCAGGCTAAAATTTAATTGAGATCATTAACCATTTCCTTTGTGACAAAATGATATTTAACTATCCCCACTGATCCAAGCACATGAGTACTTGAAAGGAGAAGGCAACTAGCTAAAGATATTGTGTTTGTCTATGGACACAAGTAATTAGGCTTGGAAGCATCTTGGCTGCAGACAGTAATGTGGGTTTTCACACTCCTGGCCTTTGGTCAAGCACCTGGAGCAACTCGTGAAAGCGAGTCCCCAAGCTCCACGTCTTCCTCCCTGTCCATCACTTTCTGTTGTGCCAGCAGAGCTCTGCTGGCACTGGACACCAGAGACTCTTTCCAATTGGAAACATTCTCTGTCTAGGAGATTACAGACTGCACACGGCAACATACTCTTAAAACTGTGTTTTCTTGTATAAGAACCTCTGCGCTCTTTGCAAGTGTTCCTCCAGCCTGCCTGGACTCCATCCCATCTCAGTGGTACTGATTGAAGGCTGACAGGAAGGACAGGAGCCTGGAGGACAATTCTGAGGAGCTGCAAAGAGAGGCAAAAAGGCCCTTCCTCATGGCACGAGGGAGATTTCTGCTCAAGGATCCACCTCTAATGCAAATCCCAAGAGGCAAGAGATAAACATGAGTGTGATGCACACTAAAGGTATCCTCGTATCAGCACAAAAGTATCCCTGCAGCCAAAACAAATAAATAAGAAATACAGATCATAACAAGGGAAGTGGTAGAAACCAGATAATAGTAATAATAACACCACCACAACCTGAAAGCCTTCCTTTTCAGCTTGTTCCAATCACTAAGAGCTGATCCAGGTTATAGGATGGGTGTAAAAGCCTCAAGATTGCTTAAAAATTCACTGATGTAAACAAGATTCCTCTAGGTGCAGACCTGCTTCTTTTCTTTTTTTTCCCCACATCTCAGGTTAAATAGTAACCAACAGAATAAACAGATTATCCTTCACTTAAATGACTAGCCCTGATTTTTATTTAAATGCAGAGGTGTCCCCTTCAATTACTTTCTGTAAGGAGCGTTTAGTAGAGTACACAGTTGCACATCACTCTATCCACATCAGGTTGTTATTATAATTTCTCCTTGCCAATGTGTACACATCCATTATGTGGTTCAACTATAGCTCTCCTTGAGATGCTGCTTTACAGTCTAATACTAAATTTATTAGGAAATAAAGAAACAGCAAAACTTGCATATCTTTAGTGGCATTAAATTGACAGATTAGTCCTTGGCACATTCTAAGCCTTAATAGCCTTCATATAGTATCAAGTGCCCACCTGCAGCCCCAGTAGCTGAACTATGAGCATAGGACCTGGTCAAATGTCACCAAAAGGTAACTTTTCTTGTCAAGTCACTAAGATTTTTGAAGTTAGAATGTCACTGGATTAATTAGTTGATAGAGCTATCTACAAATTTGTATGAAAGACACAAATTCTCAGGACTCAGAAGAGTTAAACTTGTTCAAAGAAACTTTGACTGGTCTTTCTGTGCTTTCAGAATTTCATTTGTTTCAAAGTTGCCTTTAATTGAAAATTGCTGTAAAGTATATTCTTAGGAATCACAGCTAAAAGCTTTGAGAACAATAGGACTAATAGAAAAAAATGGCTTTAAGATATATTTGCATCTCCAGGAACAACATATTTACAATTAAATTTTGCTTTGTTCCGTTGTTTAAACTCTTTATTACCATGTACAACTGAAGTTGCATTTTGTATCAACATCCATATATTTATGTTCTTACCAT